GGTCCTGGGATCGAGCCCTGCATCGGGCTCCCTGCTCAGCGGGAAGCCTGCTTCTCCCTCTCCCACTCCCCCTGCTTGTGTTCCCTCTCTCACTATCTCAAATAAATAAAATCCTTAAAATAAACAAATTAAAAGTATAGATTAAGGAATCTAACAAAAGCCATAAAACACAGCTTACACTTACAAGAGACTGGTTGCCAAGTTTATTTTAAGCTCTTAAAACACTACTAATATCCAGGAAATTAACATTAAATGCTGCAAAAAGTTTTACTTAAAAACAAAACCACCAAACAATCACTACTTCCACTAGATGGTGTAATTTCACCTTTTTAAACTCAATTCCATTTAGAGTTTCATAATTCCATGAGCCACATCCTAACAGAAATCTAATACTTCCAGGAATACCTTTTAGTTCTAAGGCATGAAATGTATCTATTCCAGTTTTTACTTAAAAGATTTACGTTAGAACTTTAGCAATTCAAAAAGATGTATACAGAAAAGACAGCACAGTATAATCTCTCAAAAACCAGAAAAGAACAGTGAAAGATGATGCCCACTATGAATATTCAAAGAACTGACAAAATTGGAAAAAGTACTGGAGTGAGTCAGGGCATTAGACCCACAGTCCATGATGACTGGTAACTATATAGGGTATAGACTCAGGAAATCATTTTACCTATAATGAGCCTCATATTTCTCATAGAAAAATGGAGGTTAAAAAAAAATGGAGGTTAGACGAGATCAGTCTCAAAGTTTTCTTCTACCTCTAAAAATAAGAGAGATCTAGGTCAACTAGTGTGCCTTTCTACTGAGTGGTAAACAACTGCTAACATGTATGGCATACATTGTATGTGACACACTGTTCTAAGTGCCTTACATATATTGATTCACAATTCTGTGAGGGACATGCTATTATTCCCACATCATAGATGAAGAAAATGAGGCTCTGAAATTAAAGGTCTGAAAAGGTCTGACGTTAAAGCCACAGACCAAGTCCAGGGAATTCCGGCTAGACTCTATGCTTTTAGACATTCTCCTAAACCGCAAATGTGTAAAACGGCTTTTCTATGCATCATTACATGATGACCAGTGGAAGGAAGGATCTGATTAATACTCTAACAATTTTCAGACTTAATCCAGCGCAAATCTCCCAAAATCAAGAAGAAAAAAAAAGCCACTTATTTCCTTTTTGGAGATTTCTACGGCTCTTTAAATATAGTATTAACTTCTTCAGGAGCCCATTCCATCAGGTCAGTAGCACAGCATAGTGTTAAGGGCATGGACTCTGAGGTCTGACTGGGTTCAAATCCCATCTTTACCACAGAGTAGGTGGGTAATACTATGTAAATTATTTAACCTTCCAGGCTCTCAGTTACTCCATCTATAAAAATGGAAATAAAATATGTACCTTATGGGATTGTTCTGAAGATTAAATGAATAGAGGTAAAGTGCTAGACTAGAGTCTGGCATATAGTAAGTGCTATATAACCATTGCTGTTAATATTATACTAAGCACCCAAGATCTCTCCAGGTTTAATTTTATTTAAAAGTCATCTATGAATAAAGAACTATTTTGAAACTTCCTCATATTTGAGTAAAAAAAAAAATTCTCTTGTACAGACCCCTATCTTTACTAGACTTAATAATCCTGATTCTTTTTTTTAAAAAAGATTTTATTTATTTATATACCAGAGAGAGAGAGAGAGCGCACCAGGGGGAGTGGCAGGCAGAGGGAGAAGCAGGCTTCCTGCTGAGCAGGGAGCCCGACATGGGACTCAATCCCAGGACCCTGGGATCATGACCTGAGCCGAAGGCAGACGCCTAACCGACTGAGCCACCCAGGTGCCCCCACAAGACCTAGTTTAAATCTTTTTTTTAACTTTGAGAGATACTTCTTTTATATTTGTATCCAGGCAATCTTTCTTTTTTTTTTTTTAAAGATTTTATTTATTTATTCATGAGAGACAGAGAGAGAGAGAGAGAGGCAGAGGGAGAAGCAGGCTCCCAAGGAGCA